GTTGCTGCTGGGTATGTGAGCTGCCCAGGTTCCTCTCCTGAATGCACACGGCACACAGGAAGATCTCTAGGGGCTTATTCTTCCCCAGTTTGGACTGCATGGCATCATTTCAATCCAGCTCCACAGAAAAGGGGGAAGGTCGCTGACCCTACACGAGGTGAGCAGCGTTGGCAGTGGGAGGAGGTTCTTCATTCCAGGCACCCTCAAAGATCCCCCCAGAGCCCTCAGTGACCTCCTGGTCCAAGGGTGAGGACGCCTGGCACGGTTCCTTTATGCCGGGGAGACTGGACCAGCTGGCGGATTGCACACTTCGGCCTCCAGCTGCAGCCACGAGGTGTGATCATTGACGGAATGGCTAGGCAGGGCTTCTCAGGTGGCAGGGCTGGCCCTTGATGAGGCTGAGTGAGGAGACGGCGCAGGCAGCCGGTTCTGGGGGTGGCCAGCTCCGGAGTCATCTTTCCTTCGGCAGACATCTTTCCAGCCATGGATTGGCGGGGGCTTGGAAGGAACCCGTGACCTTATGCGCGTGAGGCGTGGGTCTCACCACTGAGCCACAGTTTTTCTCAAGGAGAAGCCACAGGACATTGTGCTGCGCTGCACTGCATGTTGCAGGTAGAGAAGAACCGGACGCGGGGCTGCCATTTTGTGATTCCATTCCCTGCAGAATCTATCATCCAAGTCAGAAGAGGAAAAGTTTAATTAAAGGTGTATCATATTTTATCAATAACACAGCTCTGACCCACACAATTCTCCTCAAAATCCTCTTCTCTAAACTTTGATGCCAAATATTCTTCAGCTCTTCAGAGGGTCTTTGGTGAATATTTGATACTTAGCACAAACATTTGATATCTAACCAGCCAATGTTGTGTAAAGTTTGGAGTAGCCTTCCCATATGTCCATTGATCATGCTGTCTGGGATTGATAGGAATTGTAGTTCAAGCATCTGGAGGACATCACACAGAAGAACGAGAACTGCAGGAACCCAAGTTTCAATAAAAATGAAACTCACGTGGTGGCAACCATGGACCAGTCACTATCTCAGCCCAACCTACCTCGCAGGATTGTTGTTAAGATTCAGTGGGAGGGGCAGAGCCGTACTCCTTGGCTTCCCTGAAGCAGAGATGGGATAGAAATGCACTAAGTATGTTCCAGAGGTTTTGTCATATCTTTCAGCTGACATTGGTTCATTCTTCCAATGTATTTTTTTGGAAATGAGTCTAGATTAGAAGGAAAATTCCTTGCAGCTCCCCAGCACCCCAGTCGGTGTCAGAGCGCGCCTTGCAGGACTAAAGAACAGTTCAAAGGGGGTCATGATCCCCAGCACACAAGCCACGTGGCCATTTCAGCTCAAAATGTGGCCATTTCAGCTCAATCTTTTCAGCAGATTCTGTTTGTCCGGAGCAGGCCAGAGGATCAAGAACCAACTCTACAGGCACAGAAGGGACACGGTGGCATCTCAAGAGGGCTTCTTATCATGGCACATGAAGAATAAATCCGTGACCGGCATGAGGGTGCTTGCGTGAGCTGACCGACACAGGCGTGAGTGTGGATCCCAGCGGGAGAGAAGAGGAAAGCCCTGAGAAAACCTTGTTAAGGTTGGCAGAGCTCCCGGAGCTGAAACCTTTCAGGCAGAGGCTGCTTCCAAGTCCTGAAGGTCCGTCCGGGTGGATTTATAGCTGTAGGCGTTTACAGCCCGTCATATGCCGCCCCGGAGCTCATGCCAGTGGGGGCTGCAGTGGCAGCTCTCTAATTTGAGAATGCTCAAGGAGAAGAGCAACCTCAACGCCCATGGCAGGCCGTCTTCTGCTCAGATGCAGGTCTGAGCCGGAGGGAATGCATGGTGCCCCCTGCATTCCTGCCCCACCCACCCGTCCAGGTGCATCGCTAGGCACTCACACGACCTGGGCCCCAAACCTGCATAACGGCTGGAAATGCTCCTATACTTCCATCTGAGCGCACTGAGAAATAATTACTGGGATTCATCTGAAATTCGCAGAAGGAAAGGTGATCTCACTGTTCCTTCCCCACCTTCCCTTTCTCCTCACTCCTGGAGGAAAATTGCTCCCAATTTTGCAATGCAGCTTAAAAGAACATAAGAACAGAGAGAGCGTCCTGCTGGATGGGACCCAGGGACCAAGTGGCCCAGCATTCTGTCCTCGCTGTGCTGACCAGCTGCCCACAGGGCACCCACAAGCCACCCTCCCACCCATGTTCCCCAGCAACAGGGGCACGCAGGCACCCCGGGGCAAGTGTGGGATCACCAGGGCTTATAGCCACAGGTAGCCGCCTCCTCCAAGGATCTGGCAGACCTCTTTTAAGTCCCCCAAGGTGGCGGCCTTCGCAGCACCGTGTGGAAGCAGCGTCCAGAGTTGGACTCTGAGCTGTGTGAAGAAGACGGCCTTCCTTTGGCCCGTCCTGGACCTCCTGCGGCCGCTTCACGGGGTGACCACTCTGGGTGCTGGTCTGATGGGTGAGGGCGAGAACAGCCCGCCTTCCCCGGACCAGGCAGCATTTTGTGCACCTCCGGCGCCACGGGAGGGTCCTCCTCCTTCGCTGAGCCGGCACTGCAGTTCACGCTCCAGCGCTGCCTGCCTGGCCTTTCTGTTGGGCAGAAGTGGCTTCCACTGGCATTAGCGGAAGCTTTTCTTTCAGGCTTAACTGTATATGGTTGGAGAAGGAATGACCCTTTGCACTGGCGTCCATAGGCACTGAAAGACCTGGGGGTGGGGGTGGCTGCTTGGTGGTGGGAAGAGATGAGATTCCAGCGTGAAGACTGGAGGGGCTCAAAGAGGCAACTTTCAAGCATCCTTGGGAACATGAGCAGCTTTTCCTTGGTCCTTCCAGCCCAGCACTGAGAACACGGGCTGGCAGCAAGGGGTCTCCCGGGTTCCCCCCTCATGCCACCCGGGGGTGCCAGGAACTGGCTCGGGACCTTCTTCCTGCAGAGCGGGACTCTGCCGCATCGCCCTGTCCCTTCTTTTCTATTTGCAAAAAGTGGCCAGGCCTTCAAGTCATGTCGAACTCACGGTTTGGGAAAAGGGCGACCGGTTTACACTGGAACTTGGGACTCAGAGACTCTCCAGCGTCCTGGTGGCTGGGACACCTGCAAGCCCCCCGTCGGCGTGCGTCGCAGCAGCAGCCCCACCTGAAATGCAGCCTTGGGGTGTGTCTCTCCTGCCTCCTTCGCCTGCTCCTTGCTCACCGTTCTGCATGCGGATGCTTCCTGCCATTGCGCAGTTGCATACCGGGCCTCGGGAACCATGATCCTGGGTTCAGAAAACGCAACAAGCCATGGCAGCACAAAGAAGCCACAGAGCAACCCGGGTCTCTTACTGTGGCTTCAGAAGACCAAACCTGCCATGGCAAAATACCACAAGTGGATTCAAAGACCATGCAAGACCAACCATGGTGAAAAACCGCACCACAGCTTGTTGTGCGCTCTGAACCCGGCCGCGGTGTCGCTTGGCCCCTCAGCTCATTGTACTGACTGTCTGGATCCCAAATGGAGCTTTTCCCGGCAGCAGAAGGGACTTCCCATTTCTGTTTGGGTTCAGGCAAAGAGCTGCCTGTGCCCCCCTCCCTCCTTTGGAAGAACACAGCGTCTTGCATGGACAGGGTGGCCAGTGCTGGAGGCATCTCTTCTTCTTGAAATGCATGCATGTATTTATTAAATTTATATCCTGCTTTTTTCTGCCAAACTCAAAATGGCTTATATCATTTTCCTCCTCCTGTTCTCAGTCTTATCTGACAACAACCACCCTGCGAGGCCGGCTGGGCTGAGAGTCTGTGACTGGCCCAAAGCCACCCAGCTGGCTCCGTGGTCGAGCGGGGACTTGGATCCTAGATCACCTGAGTCCCAGTCCCACGCTCTCCCATAGGGTCTAGGACAAGCTGTCCTTCCCTTCGAAGTCAGCCGGTTTCTTGATTGCCATTCACTTCCCTGGAATAATTGGGCTGTTTATGCTGGCATGAGATCTGAAATGAATTATTTTGCTCTGTAGTTGTCACAGGCTGCCGGGACTCGCTGGGTCGAGTCTGGCACCGCTGGGGTGGGGGGTGTGGGGGGGGGAGTGAATCCTCTGCAGCGGCAATTGGGTTTCCTCCAGAGGAGGCTGTGAAGTTCTGGGAGGTAGCTGGGGGAAGGCAGGTGGGGAAGAAGGGTGGGAAGGAGGAGCGAAAAAAGCTTGAGGCCAGGACACAAGAGAAGAATATCTGGCTTGCAGCCCTCCTTTGATGGGCAACCTGGAACTTCCCACCATGAAGGAACAGGAGGGCTGCAGCCAGAGCCACACCTGAGCTTAGCATCTCTCAAGAAAGTGGTGGCTACGCCCTGTCAAACCCTCCCTTGAAAGGGAACCAGAATGTTGATGGGATCTGTCAAAACTCCGTTTCCCACTTTCTGCTGTTGCTGCTCTTTCTCCACCCCCATCCAAGGGTAACAGTGAGAACAGCAAAAGCCCTGCCCGATCCTTTGATGACTCAGTGAGGGTTCTTCTGAGCATGTGCAAAGTTTTTTCTTTGTGGAGTCTGGTCCAAATGGATCTGATCCACACTTCAGAAACTGACAGGCAGTTTGCAACATGGATTCCATAATGTTCCAACATACTTCTCACCTCCAAAATATATGGATCACAACGTATTTAGAAATGAGTATTTTTAATATATATATTGTTTTTAACATAAATAGAATACAGGAAAAAAAGGAAAATAAAATTGCTAAGGAATTTTGAACAACTATAACCAATACATTCAAGCCTACAAATTTCAAAGAGACCAGAAATGTCTATCTTTCTGTCATTCAATACTCCATGGAAGCTTAGAAAAGGGGGGATTATTGTTCTGTATGCCAACAAATTTTCCATTCACTTCAAATCAATTATAAATCAACAACTTTTAAAAGAGCTTTAAAAAATCATATTAATTTTACTGGGTATAATAGAATTTCCATTTGTCATTAAATTCTTCCATCGGTCTTCTGTTTACATAATTAGTTAATTTTGTCATCACTGCATACTCTGTCAAATTATTTTTCCTAGAAATGAGTATTTTAACCAAAATGCATCAAAATATGTATTTCATGAGACCACTTGAGCAGATTAAGGTGGAAACAGGATGCCATGGTTTATGGGGGAAAGTGATGGGAACAGAGATCAGCTGAAACTAATCAGTGGGTCACTCAAAGGTGCAGCTGAGGAGAATAAAGTTGACTGGATGGTTATCAAAGAAATTATTGGGCAGTTGCAATGAATATGAGGTCGAAGGCAAAATATGAGCCTGTGTTTATGTCACGTGCATTCTGGATCCTGCACCAAGCAGGGGCTGGGCTGGATGGCCTCCTTGTCCCCTTCTAACTTTCCTCTTCGATGACCGTGTGGATCGTCAGTTTTTCTTCTCTATCATAACATAAACATAATGGCGAATTTAGTGCATTTCAGTGGAAAGGAAAGGAAAAGGGGGCTTTATTTCATTCTGGAGCAGGAGTCTTCCTGCCCCCTTGGACACGCCGGCGCTCGGCTCAGCACTTCCGCGATGGTTCTGCGCATAGTTTGTCGGAGTAAAAGCGGTACTTGGCATTGTAGGAGCTCAGGCTGCCTCGGAGACAGGCCGCCGCTGCCTTGTCACAGGCGCAGATCTGCTGCTCGCACCAGGTCCCTCCGCCTGCGGAAAGAAGAGGGAAGCGGATCACACTTTCCCCGCCCTTCCTCAAAGGCACCTGCGGTTCTTCCCCGCCTCTTCGCCACCACCTTGCCAGGTAGGCTGGGCTGACCTTTGAGTCAAACTCTGGTCTCCCAGGCAGCGTCTAGGGTGGCCATGTGCCCTACTTTACTGAGGACGGTCCTCTATTGAAAGGGCTATCCGATCCAAGTCTGGCATAAGGACACAGGAGCATAACAAGAGACATCAGAATGGGGGACCGGAAGCTGCTGGGAGCCCACCTGGGGCAGCAAGGCCGGGACTGAGGCACACGCCCCTCAGCTGGCCTCCGGCTTCCCTGCTGTGGCACCGTATGGCATCGCGTGTCCGTTTGCTTCTGTCTTCATCTACAGGCCTTCCTCCTGCCGCATGTCCCTGCTGGGACCTTAGACCATCCTCAGGCACGCTGCTCTGGGTGCCCCTGCTGAAGGCTGCTAGGGCGGCTGGGACAAGGCCTTCCTGGCACCCCACTTGTGGAATAACCCTCCCCCCCCCCCGCACACACACATTTCACTTGGCACGTACATGGTTAACTCCTTGGCACCAGGCAAAGACCTGCTAGACAGACATGTGGAGGGCATGTCGTGAGCAGAGCCGGCTGGAGTCCGGGGTCAGACTAGATGACCTGGGAGACCCCGCCTGACGCGCTCTGCTTCTGTGTTTCTATGGTTTTGCTCCCAGGCATTATACTGCATTTTGGTTGCATTTCATATCTACAACCATTCTAAGGAATTTCAGTTTTTTAACTGACGGTAATTTAACCAGGGGACAGTTTGATTGGACAGATTCGGAATCAATGCAATAGAAACGCGAGTCATTTAGCGCGGGCGAACGTCACCCAAATGCGGCCTCCGCGGGAGTCTGCCAGCTCTTTCGGGCCACCCAGGGGGACTCACCGCACGTGACGACTCCGTCCGTGATGCTGAATCTGTACCTGTCCGTCTTGGTTCTGCATTTGCGCAGCTTCTCGTAGCAGCAGTCGTGGGCGAAGCAGCAGCTGTGGGGCGCAGGAGAACTCTGCTTCAGCACGTGGCCCCATGCCGGGGATCGTGCCTCAGAGCAAATATGTCCTCTGAGGCATGAGACGGGTGAGCCCCATTTAGGATCTTGACCCCACGAATGACTGCCCCGCCCCACTCCAGCACTAAAGGTCCTAAAGGCTGTTTGGAACCGGGACTGCCTCCAGCCAGGCACCCGACCTGCCCTGCAGGATGCTGTGCTGCTCCAAGAGCTGTCTGACCAAATACCGGAGCAACGCAGGTGGCTGCTGGTGCAAACAGCCCTTTCCCAGTAGCCGGAGACACGCGCTCACCCCAGGGGCGGTTCCGCAGGACAGCCTCGCTCTGCAGCTCGGGGAATTGCGTCAAACGGTTCCCTGCAGCGATTTCGTTTAAAGAAACTTCACTCCATGTGGGTCCCCGCTCTCCTCAGGTGCTCTCTCAGGCTTACTCCTCATGAGCTGGTGTGCCCCGGGTGTGTTGGACTGTAATTCCCATCATCCCCAGGCAGCACGAGCATCATAGCCCAGCCTATCTGGAGGGTACCAGGCTTGGGTGGGCTGGGTTTTTAGAGAGAACCTCAGCGCCGAGGGCCGCACCTGCTCTTTGTGGGGTCCCAGCCCAGTCCTGCACCTTCCCCGATGGCCACGCCCCTTTCCCTGGCCCCACCCCTTTTCCCTGGCCCCACCTGAGCCTTGCTGGAAGGGCAGCGTCCCTCCGCATGACACAGCGGGACGTTTGAGGAAAGCAGTCAGCCACTTCCGGGCTCACCGGCCTCATGTTTCCCTTGCGGGGCTGGGCCAGGTGCAAAGCGGGAAAGAGCAGCCTCCCCGCAGTTCGGCACCTGCATGCCGGAGCGTCCCTGGCATGGGGCTCAGCCGCTGGGGCCGCGGTCACGTTTTCCTCCCCCCGTGCGGAATGGAGAGGCACTGCGCCAGGCCACTGCAGCGCTTCCGCCGGTGCCTCTGGGCCTGTGGGGACGCAGGGCAGCTGCTTTGGAGGGGCGTCCAGGCACAGTTCTGGGCCTCGCCAAGTGGTTAAAAAATACTGCCACACAGTGGGCCCTCAGAGACACGGGCACTTGCCCTGTCAGGCTGCATGCCGGCGCTAGTGCATTAAAAATGTGTGCAGAGCCATGCTCGCTCGCTCGCTCGCTTGTACACAGTGAAGGAATGGAGCAGGGGAAATCCACTCCTTTGCGACAGTAATAATGACCCGGAGCACGTATTCACTTTGGTTTGGAGAGCCGTTGGCTTCCTGCTTCCGAACTTGCAATCTCAAACCCCACAGCCATCCTGTGACGTTCCTAAGGAGGACCGGGGGCATTCTGGGACATCCTCAACATACCCATAACTCGACAACTCGGTAATGCCACCCCTGGACCAGATGAGCCCACAAAACCAGCGCCTTCCCAGAACGGAACTGCTCTGCAATGAAGTTCAAAGCCCTTTACCTGTCCGTGGCGTCCCGTGGCTGTCCGTGGCCACCCAATCCACAGTAGCACCCATACATGGTGTAGTGTGGGAAGGCACTTTTGCCGGTGAGTTTTTTGATCATCTTTCTAAATTCTAGGAGGCTGCCTTGTGCTCCCAAAACACCTAGGAAAAAATTACCACGTATTAGATACCGGGGCTGCAAAGAGATCAAACCAGTCAATCTTAAAGGAAATCAACCCCGACTGCTCTTTAGAAGGTCAGATGCTGAAGATGAAACTCAAATACTTTGGCCACCAAATCAGCAGGAAGGACTCGCTGGAGGAGACCCTGATGCTGGGAACGATGGAAGGCAAAAGGAGAAGGGGACGCAGAGGATGAGGTGGCTGGATGGGGTCACTGGGGCAGTGGGTGTGGGCTTGGGTGGACTCTTTGGGATGGTGGAGGACAGGACAGCCTGGAGGAAGGTTGTCCATGGGGTTGTGTTGGGTTGGGCACGACTTTGCGACTAACAACAAGCTACCGGGGCAGCCTCATTCTCTCTGGGTGAAGAACCTCATCACCATGGGTGCCGTGGAAGCTTTTCTCCATTTCCCACAGGCCAAGTGGGCTGGATGGCTTCTGAGCTGGGTTTGTTCATAGACCAGCCATAAAACATAAGATTCAACAGCATGAATCCCTTGCAGAGCAATTGCATGCATGTTTACTCTGGAGCAAGACAGCAGAGCCTGGACATCTTTGATGGAAGAGGAGCTATGATCTTGTCTCTCGTCCACCCTTAGGGTCATTCTCCCAAATCTCTACAAGCTTGTCTCCTTCCATGTGAATCTGCCGCTCTTCTACCTTCGAGGTTAAGTGGGTGGTGAAGGCCAGCAAATTTAGGGCACTCTCTCCATGGTGCTGCAGCGGAGCAGCTTTCTTCCGGGGCACCTACCTTGTTAGTTCTCAGGTGTTGGCTAAAGGCAAACGTAGGGTTGTTGGGTGTCTTTGCTATTTTATTTTAGCCTGTCATAACACGTCTGTCTTTTATCTCTGGAGTTGCATTTATATGTCCGGATGTTTTATGTAATCTTGCTTGAACACCTTTGGCACAAAAAGCTGCATAAGAGTCTTTCAAATAAACAAATCTGTGCCAGTGTTTACCCAGAAAAGAACAATAGAATCAAGGGATAATAGAGTGGGAAGGAGCAAGAAGACCATCAGGTCCAAAGTCCTGCTCTTTGCAGGACACCAAGTTAAACCATCCTTCTCAGATGGCTGTTCTGTCGCATCTTGAACGGCTCCAGGGTGGGACAGCCCGTGGCCTCCCTTGCTCATTGACTCCATCGTTTTACTGCTCTAACAGTCAGGAATTTTCCCCTGATATCTAGCAGGAATCTGGCTTGGTTGTACCTTGAGCCCATTATTCTGTGTCCTGTACTCCAGGATGACGGAGAAGAGATCCTTGCAGCCTTTCCAGCAAGTCAGATTCTTGCACAACTGGAGCAAGGCCAAGGTACTGATCCATTACCCCAAAAAGGGGGGAGATGCTTTGTCAAAAAAGAAGAAGGAGATTTGCATCCGGTTTGGATATGCTCAGGTATAGTGTTCGAAATAATTACTGTTAAAAGAAAGCGAAATCTCGCCCAAGTGTGGAAGGGCTGCAGACACCTCTGGGATCCCCAAATACAAGCCTGGAAACCGAGCCCCAAGCCTGGAGTTGAGGGTCTGTGCTCCAGTTCCGTCCCCCACAGCAGCCACTTCGCAGAGGCCAGAAAGTGGACCTTGAGAGGGGGGTAAAGGGGGCCTGGAGGGGGCCAGAAGGGGAGGAGCCTGGGGCCCCCGATGACTGTTCCCTCCGCCGTCCAGCGTGGTGCGGTGGTTGAATGCTGAGCCGGGCACCTGGGAGAGCCGAGTTCTGGTCTCGACCTGGCCATGGGTGACTTTCCTCCCGCTCGGCCCAGCCTACCTCACAGGGTTGTTGCCGTGAGGAGACTTTATTCTTTTCGGCACCAGACCAAACCCCTTTAATTTTCCCATTATTTTTAGACTTAATTTTTATTTTAGTGGGGTTTTTTTTCATAGATATTATGCTGTGCCTTGGTTGTTGGGCCGTTCTGAGGCTTTTATTTATAGGATGGGGTATAACTGCGTTAAACAAATAAATGGAGTGGAGGCGTACTAGGTGATCCAGTGTCAGGAGCTGGGCTTTCCCTTTGCACTTTCAAAATGGCAGAGCTGGCAAAAGCTCTTTATGCTCCGATTTATATCCAGTAAAGCATACCCAGCAAAGAAAGAGCCCCTGAGCATGTGCAGAGCAGTTCCCTGGACCCAAGCTAGAGCGCTATCTGAGAAGCCTCTTTTTGAGCAACTGCTCTGGAAGGGCCCTTCTGGGGGTGGACCGGTCCCTTGGCCACAGGCTGCCCCTCGAGTGGGCTTGTCCCTCTGCCCCCGATGCGCCTCGGGCTCAAGGATTACCCAAACCCTTCTGGCCCCTGCGTTCCTGCCCCACAGCCGTGAGTTGCAGGACCTGGCCATTCCCCAGGTCTGCCTGAGCACCTGGAGAGGGCAGCCTTGAGACAAGCTTCTCCTCCTCTCCCGTCGCGGGGCCCGTTTCCTGGGGCCCATGCTCCCCATCTGCCAAGTCCATGCCTCCCTGGCCTGAAATAAGCACCAAGAGTAACTCCCTCCTTCCTCCCCAACAGCCACCTTTCATCCCTCTCAAGAGGAAAAACGGCAGGACTAAATGCCATTTAATAGCAATGACAATGATCACTGAAGCGCAACTTCAGGGCTGCTTCCTTCTCTTTCTTAGGGTTCTTTAAGGGTTGACTAGAAGCCCTTTGGATAGAAGGTTCCTTCCAGTAGAGGACTGTTTCCTGCAGACTATCTGGCCACTTGGCTCTTTTCTGGCAATTACTGATGGACAGTAATTTCCTTTTCCATAAATGTGTCCATTCCTTCCTAGGCCTGCGGCCATCACTACATTTTGCAAGGGTGAGATTCCTAAATTAACTGTCGACCAACTGCAGGCTGGGTCTTGTGTTTCTTGATTTTACTCACCACAAGCCAGGAGGACAATCAGGCCACGAAGGAGCTTCATCTTCCGCTGCTAAGCACCTGGAGAAGAGAATGAGCACATATGCGTGGCTCCCATGATGGATACCCCCCCTTTGGGTCCCACGTTGTCAAAATCAAGTGTTAAAGTCCACGCAATAAAAGCAGAAGATGTTACGGCTTTTGAAAAGCACACCCAGAGAACAGCTGCCAAGAAAACAAGGTAAGCAAACAGGTCCGCCTTCCAAGTTCAGAGATACGGCAAGTGCTTGGACGGGGCTCGGAGATGCAACCGCCCTCCCATGCCCCGAGTAGCTGGTGTGATACTTCTGTGTTTCCCCGAAAATAAGGCCAGGTCTTGTGTCAGTTTTTGCTCCAAAAGACTCACTAGGGTTCATTTTCAAGGGCTGTCTTGTTTTTTCATGCACAACGATCTACATTTGCAGTGGTCCCTCAGCTCACAAATGCCTCAGGTCACGACCAAAGCAGGTTGCAAACAAAAATTTCATAAAAATTTTGACTCCGGTTGCAAACTCCGCACTGGGTGACGACCACGATTGTGGCCATCTCCACAGCTCCAAGTGGGGAGATGGTCGTGATCGTGCTGGAGGGCTGAGATCACAACCGGCTTTCCTGCACGAGTGCAAGCGCGAGCTTGGCCATCCCCCGCCAGCATGATCGTGCCCGTCCCCCCCACCCCAGTGTGCCCGCGATTGCGCCCGTCTCCCTCTCCCGCCCCCGGTGCGCCTGCAATCGTGCCCATCTCTGCCCCCCCCCGCACGCTGGGATGTCGGGCGCGATCGTGGTCATGCTGTAGGGTGTGGGGGGGAGATGGCGCGATCTTTGTTGTTCTTTGTCACTTTGCTTCACATTTTTCAGGTTAAAAAAAATAGCTGCAGAACGGATTAATTTTATTTACATTGAACCTTATGGGGAAATTTAACTTGGCTCATGACCAATTTGGGTCATGACCAGAGTCCTGGAATGGATTAAGTTCATGAGCCAAGGTACCACTGTATTCGTTTATTCACGTACAAAAATCTACCTTTATTCAAATGCAGTCATCTCATCTTCTGGGACATCGTCATGACACTCCAAGCCCCGAATTGTGTTGCAATGGATGGACTAAATGCACCTGTCTGGCTGACGATCTGAACTGGGGCTTATTTTGGGGGCAGGGCTTATATTACCAGCATCCTGAAAAATCATGCCAGGGCTTATATTTTCCGGTTAGGTCTTATTTTTGGGGAAACAGGGTAGTTCAAAACTGCCGAATGCCATGCATTTGGATCCAAATGCAAACGGGATAATTTTCGGCAAATGTACTCTTGGCCTGCTAGCCCTAGCCGATCTGGCATGAAGGAGTCAGATGGGCAAAATGTCAGAAATGCACTTAATGCACGGTAGGCAAGCAGACCAGGGTAGAATCCCAGAACCTATGAGTACCGTGGCATTAAAGATGCAGCCATTCCAGACGGGGAGAATCCCGGATGCTGTGGGTTTCAATGCTGTCACAGCATCCAGAAATTGCTTCTGGGGAGCATGAACAGGGGGACACGGGTACTTTTTATGACGCTCCAGAGGAGGAAAAAGAATTGTTGCAAATGTGGATATGGAGAAAACAAGCTTTAGCTCTAATACCCGGAAGAATGCAGGCATTGCGATGGAAGAACCTGGCTCTGCAAGCCCTGCCTTTGTGCAGGAAGTCAAATCTCGGGCAAACTTTCCACCTGGGCAAACTTTCTGTTTGGACTAAATTCTGGCCATTGGGCTGCCCAGTGGACTGGATCACGTGAAAAAGCTCTCATGATCAGGCATGGGAAATGCAAAAGGTCCACACAGAGGAAAGGATATGCAGGGATTGGCAACATGGTGCCTGGGAGTCCATTCATCCCCAGCCAACTGGGATGTGGGACCTGGAATCCAGCACATCAGGAATGCAGGAGGGTGGGAAAGACTAGGCTGGGCACATGGCGACTTTAGGTTTCTGGTCTCCTGGAGGAAATATTTCTGCTGCTGAAATATGTTAATTTCCCGGGACTCCGACGTGAAGAGCATGTTGAAAATTCATTGTCAATTGGATAATGCGGGTGTGAGGGAATGGTGTGAACCCAGGACGAGCCAAGCATATGAAGTTATTTCAAAAGGAAAAGAGCGCAGTTGCTTACCTGTGCAGGTTCGGCTAAGAGAAACACAGCTGGCTTGCTGGCTCGCTCTTAAAAGGAGGAGAAGAGGCAGACTGGGGAGAGGCCACCCGTTGTGAGCACCTTTCTCCTCCTGGCCCCTACCTAGCGAAGAATGGGGGAAGTGGAGTGAAAGAAGAGGACAGTGAGAAGGCATTGTGAATTATCTGGGGATTTCAACCCCGTTCCTTCATTTGTGATGACGCACTGATTCCTTTCAGTGGCAAAACATTCCAGTGCAGAGAACTGTCGGCAGGACACAGCAGGTGGTGCCCAGTTAGAGCTCCGAACAGTGGAGCTGGTGGGAGCAAGTGTCTTGCCCCATGCCGACCATGCCTTTGAACCCAGGAAAAGGCAGCAAAGAAGGCTGCTGGAGGGTCCCCTGGAAACGGGGTGGAGGAGTCTGAGCCCCCTCACCTCTTCCTGCAAGGCAATCTACCGCACTGAGCAGCATCCAGTGACCCTCTGCGGCACGCCAGGGGATGCCTGCTGTTATTCCGGTCGCACGTTGGAGATAACACTGTTCATTCTTCTCCTTGTTGGCGTTCCGGAGGCCAGGATGGTATTGGATCGAAGACTTGGGAGATCCAGGTTCTAGTCCCCACTCAGCCATGAGACTCAGCGGAAAGCTTTTGGCCAGCCAGTCATTCTCATCCAAACCCACCTCACAGGGTTGTTGTGAGGATAAAATGGAGTGGGGCAGGGCTGTGTGTGCCTCTCTGGGCTCCTTGCGAGAGGAAAGAAGTTGGGATATAAATGCAATATAAGAATAATTGGCACAAGTGATTCCGGGAAAGGACAAATTTAAACAAAGGCATGAAGCACACCTCCTTTTAAAGTCAATTATTCATTCATCCATTCCTTCAATTTATATCCCACCAAGGAACTCAAGGCAGCTTACCTAATTCTCCTCTGCTCAGTCGTATCCTCACAACAACAACCCTGTGAAGTAGGTTGGGCTGAGAGTCTGTGACTGGCCCAAAGTCACCCAGTGGGCTCCATGGCTGAGCGGGGACTAGAACCCAGATCGCCTGAGTCCCTGCGCTGCAGCACACCATTTAAAATAATGCAGACGAAAGTGCATGCATGGAGGGAACGGAAAAATCCATACGCTACAGAAAAATGACCAGCAAAACACTCACAGGAATGAACATGATGCAAGGAAGCGCATTATCATGCGGAGCCGGCTTGCAAAAACTGTGCATTAGCCAAAAGGAAGCAGCCACACAAACGGCATTTGCTAGAAGAATTGTGCATGAAAAGGCACGTGATCTTCTACGAAGAAGTTAACAAACAAAATGTGTACATGGGTGGAGAAGTGGCTGAATTAAACTTAAGCTGAAAAAATGAGAAACTGAATGCAATGGAAATTGAAAGATTTGCAGGTGTTAGGGATGAAATTAAATCCCAAGCAGAGACGATACGGGAGGCAAAGTGACAAGCAGCAATAGTTTCATACGTTCTTGCAAGAGCGGGTGCCCACCACACAGGCAGCGCGCCGTGTCCACAAAAGGCCTTGCCCTGTCCTCCCTTTTCCCGGCTCACAGACCCTGCCTCTCTTCTCCCACCGGCTGGGTTACTGGGGGTCGCAATCTTCCCCGTCCGCCTCCATCATGCTGCTCCTCGGTATGTTCCCCCTCCCGCTCACGCATCCCGTGTTCATGCTAATGAGCCCATTGCCTATGAGGGGCGTGTCAGTTATTAGTCATGAACCTATTAAGCGTGCGCACTACTTCCTAAGAGTTCAATAGGTCGTCTTGCCCTTGTAACAGTCTTGCCTGGTGACCACTTATCTCCTAAAACTTCTGGGAGGATGTGATAGGAAGACCAACCCTTCTTCCAAGCTCATTATCTCCTTCTCCCTTATACAGGCTGGCCAGCTGTTCAAGGCAACCGATTACCCACCGTCTTCTGCAAATGTCATCGTTCAGCCAATGCCCCCAGCCTCGCCTCTCTTGTGCTCTTCAGGACTTCGATGTACGAGAGAAGCACTATTCTGCCATTTCTCTTGTGTTCAAACTCAGCCACACCATATGCTATTCGCCCACCTTTGTTTGTTTACATCAGTACCCAATTTAAACCTGCCTATTTTCTTCTACTTCCTATTTACAAATCTCTTTATACGGCTCCTTACTCTGGCCTTTGGCCTTATAAGGGTCTTTTCCTCTGGTCTTTAGCAATCCATCGTTCTTCTGCTTAGTGACAGTAATTTTCCTTCTCTCACACAGGTACATCAGTTCCAGGTACAAACCCATGGGAAGCTTAGGAAAAACATGCACTCTAAGAGGTTCCTTTTTTCTGTCTTTCTTCAAGAGGAGGAGGCGGAGGAGGAGGAGGAGGAGGAGGAGGAAGAAGAAATAAAATACCTTGCATTGCTGTACAGGCTAAAGAATTCCACTGCTTGATTTTAAAAACTCATTTTGATGTAAGTAGCCTCTTGCAACCAAACAAAAAGGCTTTTTGACTTAACGATAAACAGGGAATCCTTTTCTCGCGCACGCTCCCTCTTTCTTGGGGTAGCACTTACTTCTTTCAGGCTCATAAATCTTCTTCGAAGTTGAAAGTACAACCGTCCTTTTGACAGACAGTCCGGGCACTTTACAGCTCTCCTCTCCACACTTCAGGATGTGACCACAGCTACCTAAAGCTGCCTGGAAAGTTTTATAGAGAGGAAGGGGGAGCCCCGTTTCCTGTTCCTCTAACCATCTGGAATAGCGAGTTTTCTCCTCAGCTGGTCTGCCATGTCAAAAACTCCCCAGGCAGTTCTTTCCCCATCGAATGAGGAACCTGCCCTTCATCTCTGGGGCCGTAGGAGCTCCTTCTCCCAGAAGGCTCCAGTGTCGCAAGTACTCATGCTTCTGACTCCACGCAGAAACTTTCTGCCTAGTGCCATGGTGTAGGGGAACCGGGATCCGCAGGGACACCACACTGGGATTTTTGATAAGCAGGGATGCTGACAGGCCCTGTCAACCCCCTTGGATGTCTCCGTTCCCCCTGAAATGCAATCCCCACAGCAACATTTTCTCAGCAACAGGGAACTGTCCTTATCGTAAAGCGGAGCATGCTGGAACGGGCAGCAAGCGCCAGGAGCTGTACAGGAGACCTTCTCCTGGTAAAGGGCTAAAGGCGTTTTGTTGATAGAGATCAACACCTGCATTTTTGGTCTCCCTTTCAGGGTGGGGTGAAGGGATGGGGCTCTTCCTCAGAGCTGACCACTGTGTCAAAACGTTGTGATGGAAAGTTGCTTACTATTTACAGATACCAGCATTCTTCTTAATGATCTACCTGAGTCTTGGGGGTTGAATGGATCCCCTTTCAACAGCGAAAGCCCTAATTACTACAACACCGGAAGGCAAACCGCCACCTGGAATCGCATCTTGGCTGGAGGACTTGGTAAAGCTTTTTGGAGTGTGTGATTTTTGGACACCATTTGTTCTTGTTAGACGTGAAGTTGCGTCTGACCCATCTTGTCCCCATGGACAACTCTCCTCCAGGCCTTCCTGTCCTCCTCCATCCCCCGGAGTCCAGCTAAGCTCACGCCGACTGCCCCAGTGACCCCATCCAGCCACCTCATCCTCTGCCGTCCCCTCCTTCTCTTGCCGTCAGTTGTTCCCAGCATTAGGCTCTTCTCCAGGACACAATTTGCAAAAGAACAATAACAAGGAGCTCTGGGCTGCCTTGACTGGAGTTACCGGAGTCGTGGTTGAGGCTCCCTCAGTGAGGGTGGTCAAAGATAGGCTCGTGTGGTGAGGCTGAGGTGCTCCTTCCCACTGAAGCCAACAAAGCAAACCGTTGAAGCTAGAGTCCTTTATTCTGCGAAACGTTGCAGATGCATTGACAAGAAATGACGGAGATTATTTTAATGATGATGATAATGGGGAAGTTGTCCTCTCTTTCGGAGAGGGCTCAGATTACAAAATGCTTCTGACTCGCCTGGGCCGTCCCTCCTTGGGCAGATCTGACAAACTGCTCTCCCTTCTCCTTTCTAATCCCCTCGCTGCGATCGCCCGAGCCTGCGCGTGTGTCTGCGAGAGCGGGCATCTTCAATCCCCCTCTGTCCTGGGACAACGCCACTTCTAGCGTACCCATGGTCGTCATCTGCAAGCGGCCCAGCCATTTCCCTGGCAACCGCCCGGCCGCCCTCCCCCCACGCTTCACTATCAACTTCTGCTTGAGTCCTGCTCTCCCCTGCGTCGTCTCTTTGAAACACTTCGTCAGGGAGTGTGGTTGGGGGGGGTGTTTGTACAATTGGCACCAGGCACACATCTTCCTGCACCAAATCCTGGTTCCCACGGGAGGCCTCCTTCTCTCCTACATGCGCCAAAGACTCCTCCGAGTCGGTGCACACAACAGCTGGACATGCACATGGTGGGCATGTTGTGAGCGGAGCCGGCTGGAGCCGGGGGTCAGACTAGATGGCTCGGGAGGCCCCTTCTGACTCACTCTGTTTCTATGTTTGTGCATAAATATCTTGAAGTATATTTTGCAATAGCTAAACTATATAGGGGTACATAATACGTATGTATTCACTGGAATAGGTTCACTCAGATTACATTTCAGAAAAAATGGAATTCCTTCTTTCTTGTTTTGCTTGTTTGTTTATTCGGGGTTCAGTTTTAGTTTTGAGTTTGAAACTCACAGTAAAATGGGGCGAACTTGCACTCTGGCTGGGTTTGTCTTCCAGCGATACTAGAGCAAGAAGCTGTGCTCTGGTGTTAAGTCTCCCTGTGGCTGGAGCAGAGACTGGGGCAACGCGTCGTCATGGACCCTGGGAGCCCACCCTGATGCCACCCAGGATTTGGGGAATATCTATGCAGGGGAATCCAGCTATTTCCTAACCCGATGTTCTCTGGAAGTACTGGACTGCAGTTCCCAGCATCCCCACCCAACCTCCCACCCACCCACCCACACTGGGAGACGTATCCCGTTGCATTTAAAGGGTTTCATACTGAGGAAGGCTGATGTAGGTGGTCGCAGTGAGCTGAGCCCAACCCAAGGGGCTTCCAGCTGGTGAGCTCAGCTTACGTTCCTCACTAGCCTCATTCCCGTTCGTGAGACTCACTCGCAAATAAGTCTACACACCTAAAATCGCGATCCACTTTGTCTGTTCATACTGCCCAGTATCTTGTGCTCGCACCTTTATGGTTGTGTGCTAGAGACAGCGGTTTGTTCCTCTATTTATTTGTCGGTCTGAACATTTCCATGTTTCAGCCACAAAGGCTCTCCAAACAGGGAAGAGATTAAGAAATACAGAAAGGAGCCCTTGTTCCTGGGCCTACAGTCTGAAGAAAAGGAAACGGGATGGAGGAGGGTAAATGAAAACAAGCATATTCAGGCACTTGTCTTAAAGTTATGCAGTTCTTATAAAAACATTTGGGATAAAGATAGGCCTTGTTGGATCTCAACTCAATGTTTGTTCAAATAGGCATAATGAAGCCCAGCGAACGGTGATGCAGCAATTGGGAGAAGCGATGGTGTTACGGGGCAGCGTCTCCTCACTCCGAAAAGCAAAATGGCGACAAAATATGGGTGAACTGGTGATGCATCCCAGGTAAGCAGGGAAGCCCCAGGGAAATAGGGACCGTTGGCACTCCAAATGCCATTCCTGCTCCACAGCAGACCGGATTCCTTTTGTGCCTCGCAGAGGGGTGGGAAGCAGAGGGAGAGAGAATAAAAAGGGTTGCGGGTTGCGATGGCTGGTCCTTAAGCCTGGCTCAGACTGCCCTCTCCAATGGCAGTGGGGTGTGTATCCACTCCGGGTGAGAGTCTGACCTTTCAAGAAGCTCTCGGTGGTGCTGAATCCTGGCTCCAAAGGAGGCTCTGTGCGTGGGCCACCCTTTAAAAGCTCAGACTGCAACGTGGCACAGATACTCTGCCTCATTGACTCTGGGGTGCTTTGGCAAAAATCAAAGCGGTGGCTACTTTTGGGGTACTGTGGACACCCATCTTTGGGAAAACCGCTGTCCAGGCCATTGTTGCCTTCAAGGAGCCAATGCCCACCTTGAGATGTATGTCCCACCCCTTCCATGCAAAATTCCTGCTGGTGTGGGGAAGGGTTCCTATCCTTCTGCAGTGCCACTTCCTTTAAACAGACTGTTGCTATTTTAAAAAGAGGCAAGCGGTTCTTTTCCTGCGTGTACACCCCACACAAAAGAGAGGGGTTTTGCATAATGTCTCTGCCTTCCCCTCTCCATGGGTACAGACCTGTTTTCCCCTGAGGAAGAGGGTAGGACACGTTCCATTGGAGCCAAGCTCAGGGAGCCAAGGTTCAATTTGGATGCCAGGAAGTACTTCCTGACAGTTAGGACTCTGAGGGTGTGGAATGGGCCTTCACGGGAGGTGGTTGAGGCCCCATCGGTGAGGGTGTTCAAAGATAGGCTGGATGTGCACATGGTGGGCATGTCATGAGCGAAGCTGGCTGGAGCTGGGGGTCAGACTAGATGGCCCGGGAGACCCCTTCTAACTCGCTCTGTTTCTATGTTTCTGTGTTCCTATTTGGGCTCAGGACTGGCACTGAGGGTTTAAGCCAGAACAGGAATCTTTTAAATAGAAGTTGTATGCATGTTGGTAGGTCTTTAAGTGCTTCTTCAGGCACTGCACAAATTTCTTGTCACATTCACAGGTCTGCCGCTGACACCAGGCTCCAGTTTTCATCATCGATTCCCACTGCGACGGTGAATCGCCTGCCACCAAAACAACAGAAGAGCAATGGAGGAGATGGGGGGGGGGGGGGGTGGAGTTGGACGGGGAGTGTGCAAGATGGTGCCCCATTCTGTGCTCCACAGCCAAGCAAACTGGGAGCCGAAATGTTCATCGGTGCCATCACAGTGTCCCCGAGGGTCCCCAAAGGCTCTCTCTGGGGACAGAAGGCAGGCTGCCTGGCACACGCATCACTTTCGCCCCCCAGTGCCCTCTCCCAGTATCTGCCTGGCCCCCAAGCCCAGCCCTGGACTTGGGAGCCTCCAGCACGGTCGAGGGGACCTCTCTGTCCATCTGCCGTGCCTGGTGAGCATCTCAGGTCATGGAGGTCCCATGGGCTGGGCAGCTCCGTCTAAGCGCCTGTCCATTTTGCTCAGGGAGGGGTTCCGGGACACCGGCACCCTGACCCACGGCGTCCCACTGGCAGGGCCTCTGCACTCCATGTCTGGGACACGGCCGCCATGCTGGTTGGGCTGCCCAGGGGCTCCAGGGCAGGGATCGGCCGAAGCCCCTCTGCTGGCCTGCCCTGGGGAGGACCGGGCCAGGCGAACCCAGCGCCACCAGCGGACTTACAGCAGGTGACTTTCCCAGAGCGGTACGTATAGGTATATTCCTCGATTTTGGTTTCACAGCCCTGGTCGTCCAGCTGGCCGTAGCAGCAGTCGTGTCGCTGGCAGCACCTGTGGGAAGTGGGAAAGTGGCGTGAGGCAGGTGAGGAAAGCTGCCTCAGGAAGCAGAATGGCTCCTGGTGACCGGATGGGGCACCGTTCCCCTGCAAATGCCGGCCGGACCAGGAAGGCCTGGAGGGCCTCACAAGGACTGAGCCGAACTGTCGCGCATTCCAGACCTTGAGTCACCCGGCCCCTTCCCAGAGGGAAGAAAGCAGAGGCCCCGTCGCTTCCCTGTCGGAGCAGGTCAGGAGAACAATGGCTGAAAGAGCTTCCGCGCCACGCCACGCCACAGCCCCAGAGCCTCCATCGAAATGTCCCACTCAGCCGCAGGGGGCGAGTACAGGGACCGCTGCTCTATGGAGCGGTCAGGGAACCTGGCCGTGTTCACACACCGTGTGCTGCATTCATTGCAGAAATGTGCCGTCACACATGTCTGGGTAGAGTTCTTAACACACTGTCTGGATGATTTGTCTCCCTGAGCTCTGTGGGCTGTCTGGACAAGACCAAGAAGCACAATAGATTTTCTTTTCATTCTGCACTAGATTTCCGTCCCGTCCCGTCCCGTCCCGTCCCGTCCCTTCCCTTCCCTTCCCTTCCCTTTCCTCCAGATCCAGAATTTCTGCCACACCTTCAGTCAGCCCCCCAAGCCTTATTCCATATGAATAGCTGGCTTTACAACAAGGGCACTATATAGGGCCGAATCCCATCTTGGAGAAGCACTCGGAGGCCGCATTCCAGCACTGGGCACAGCCAGAGGCAAAGGCAAAAAATAAACTGCAGAGACACTCTGTCATTTTAGCTTAAAGCTCCCACTGCCAGGGGCTGCACAAAAGCCGGGAAGCCAGCAAGAACTGGCGGTTGTGGGAAAGGGGGAGCGGCTGTTTGGGGGGCTGGATGGGGTTCTGACCAAGTCTCTCTTTATGTGTCACGACAGCGTTTGCCCGTGTCGGGGTGCCTTAATAGCAGCCGCGAGGCAGCATAACCTGGATCAGTCAGGAAAGACCCTTTCGCCATGAGCCTCAGCAGTTTATTGAAAGATCACTCAGGCCCCCTGCAGCTCCTTAAGCCAACATGCGCCCGGGTCGTGGTTCTCACTGCCAACTGCAAAATCACAGCTTGTGTACGGACATTTTATAACCTTCTAATCATGCTCAGAGTATTAGGTTTCCAGATAATGTCATTACCATGGCATCTTGACGTCTTTCGGCATGACATAATGTTCTAAACTGATCAGAAATACTGGTAACAATAGTATAGAAAATATTACTGATTGCTTTATTGACCTGTCAATTCAGTAGATTCCTTGCCGTTTGGATCAGCCTCTGTGCCTTCTTAAACATGCAAAGGTGTCTGATTGAGGAACCATTCAGGGAAACTGTTTGACAACTACGCTGGGCAGGCACTTGCCTCTGTTGAGCTAGATGCTTAAATGGGTCCATTCAGAAACAAATGAATGGCCCCCTTTGTCTCAGCTCTCTGCAGCTGATGGGAACACAGGTATTTCCCCACTGATAGTGTTAACAAGAAAGATCTTGTGCCACCCTCGAAGGCCCGCTGTGACGACTTTGCCAAGCATTTCAGGGAGAAAATCGCTCAGATTCTCCACGAGCTTGACTCTTCTATTGAATCAGATTCTACTGGGGAGACGCCATCGACGCTGTCGAGTCCACAATTAATGGATGAATTTCAGTTGTTGCGGCCTGATGATGTGGACAAGGTGCTTGGACAAGTACGTCCTGCCACTTGCTTACTAGACCCATGCCCATCTTGGCTACTTAAGAAAGCCAAGGACGGGATTGTGATCTGGATCCTGGAGGTGGTCAACGCCTCTTTAAGAGACGGCCGGGTACCTGCCCCTTTAAAGGAGGCGGTAGTCCGGCCAGTCCTAAAGAAGGCATCCCTGGATCCAGAGGAGGCCACCAATTATAGACCGGTGACCAACATACCGTTCCTGGGCAAGGTGCTAGAGCGGGTGGTGGAGGGACAACTCCAAGCACTCTTAGATGAAACTGATTATCTGAACCCATTTCAGTCCGGCTTCAGACCCGGGTATGGCACTGAATCTGCCTTGGTCGCCCTGTACGATGACCTGTGCAGGGAGAGAGACAGGGGGAGTGCGTCCCTGTTAGTTCTCCTGGATCTCTCAGCAGCTTTTGATACCATCGACCATGGTGTCCTTCTGAATAGGCTAGCGGGATTGGGAGTTGGAGGCACCGCGTGGCGGTGGTTCCGCTCCTATCTCAACGGCCGATTTCAGAAGGAGGTGCTGGGGGACTATGGCTCTGCGCCATGGCAGTTATGCCATGGAGTACCGCAAGGGTCCGTTTTGTCCCCTTTGCTGTTTAACGTCTACATGAAACCACTGGGAGAGGTCAGCCGGAGGAGTGGGCTGCAGAATCATCAGTACGCTGATGATACCCAGCTCTACCTCTCGTTCTCCACCAATCCAGGTGAGGCAGTGGCTGTACTGAACTGGTGCCTGGCCGAGGTAATGGGCTGGATGAGGGCCAATAAACTGAAACGCAATCCAGACAAGATGGAGGTCCTGTTGGTGGGGGACTTGGGCCTTGTCCTAAATGGGGTTGCACTCCCTCTGAGGGACAGGGTTTGCAGCTTAGGAGTGCTCCTCGACCCTGAGCTGTCTCTAGAAGCTCAGGTGACGGCGGAGGCAAGGAGCGCCTTCTTTCAGCTTCGGCTGATACATCAGTTGCGTCCCTTCCTGGAGAACGACTGCCTGGCGACAGTGACACATGCGCTGGTAACTTCCCGATTAGATTTCTGTAATGTGCTCTACGTGGGGCTACCCTTGAAGACGGTCCAGATACTTCAGTTGGTGCAGAATAGAGCTGCCAGGATGCTGACGGGGACTGGGCGTCATTCTCATATAACCCCAGTTCTCCCTCAGCTCCACTGGCTCCCGATTGAAGTCCGGGCCCAATTCAAGGTGTTGGTTATCACCTATAAAGCCCTAAACGGCTTGGGACCTGGATATCTAAAGGAACGCTTGCACCCATATATGCCCTCCCGCCCCTTGAGATCAGCAACAGATGCCCTTCTCTGGGAACCCTCTGTGAATGATATTAGGAGGGTAAGTACCCGGAGGAGGGCTTTCTCTACGGTGGTGCCCCATCTATGGAATGCACTCCCCAGAGAGGTCCGCCTGGTGCTGTTGTTATT